GCCGGCTGCCTCTATCGCCGTCAGTGTCACCTCCACATCTCGCACGTGTGTCTCGGCGTCAGGGCTGAATATAATCACATCGTCGATGTAGCACGCTGCCCCTTTCACCTCCCTCAGCACTGCGTCCATGACTCGCTGGAACACCGCGGATGCGTTCCTCAGCCTGAAGGGCATGAAGTTCCATTCATAGAGTCCATCCGGCCCGTGAAACGCTGTTTTCTTCTTATCCTCCTCGGCTATTGGTATCTGGTTGAATCCTTGCCGCAGGTCCAGTGTAGAGAAGACCCAGCTTCCGTGCAGCTGGTCAAATATCTCCTCCGCCATGGGCATGGGGTATCGGTCTGTCGCTGTGACTTTGTTCAAGCCCCGGTAGTCCCCGCACATGCGCCGAGACAATACTGCCCCCGTCAGGTCTGTCCGTGCCGCTACAACTGTTGCTGCGGCGTAGTCAGACGTTGATCGTCTGATAAGTCCAGCCGCTAACAGCTCCTGACATTTTTCAGAGCAGATACTGAGGTCTTGCGGGCTCATCCTCCTTCGCCTCTGGTACACGGGGACTTCGCTGGTCAGAGGCAGATGCATGGTGCTGGTCACACACCTGCCCAGCTCCTGTATCGAGTGGGCGAACGCCGCTGTGTGTTGCCTCAGCACTGCCTCCAGCCTGATTGCCTCTGTGCCTTGTATGGCGCTACCTATGTCCCAGCTAGTCTCGGCTGCCCTCGCTGGTGCCTCTACCGGCCGTGCTCCTTCCGCTCCTTCTGCTGCTCTTATTGCTGCTGCTCCCTCCCTTGCCCGTACACCTGCTTCTTCACCTGGCTCGGCTGACACCTCCCCTGTCCTGGCTCCCATTGCTCCCTCTGCCACCCTCACTTCATTCTCTTCCCGCGCCCCTTCCCTCAGATCCTCCACTCCGCTAGCCATGTAGGCCCGGCTGGGTCCCAGGAAGACTTCATCCGGGTCGGGGATCCACCGATCTGACGGATCCTCCTGATCCTCCGAATCCCAATCCATCTCTGGCTCTCCTTCCCACCCCTCTTCCTCCTCCTCTTCTTCCTGGTCCGGATAGGTTCCTGGTATCCCTAAATGATCACTCAGCCTCTCCATCCGCTTCTCTCGCGGCACTCCTCTTCGCCTCATCTCCCATGCCTCCTCCTCCAACAGCTCCAGGAATCTTTCCGCTTGATATTCCTTCTCCTCATCGGCTTCCGTCTTGGGATCCGCCCATGCGGCATGGTCCCTTCTTCGCTCCCATCTGTGGCGTTCAAGATGCCTATCCATTGTCGCTATCAACCAGTGTATTGCATTGAGGTCCATGGCCTTTCCCAGAGCTCTCCTCCTTTCTTCTTCTGTCACATCGGTGCTCTCAGTTGCTCCTGCCATGAAACCCATTGCCAGTTCCCTCTCCATTGCGGTCGGCTCCTCCCAGACTCCCTTCAGCCGGTCGTACACCATCCCCGGCCCTTCTTGCCCGTCAGTCAGCTTGTATCCTTCTGAGCTCTGGAATGACACTAGTGTGGGCCAGGCCTGCCTCGGCTTGCCTACTTCGTTGCACGGGTACTACGTCTCGTGGTCTGCATGGCGTACCGGTGCTGGGATCCGAGCCGGCTCCAGTATGTCCACCACCAGCCGTGGCTTCGGCCTCTCCATGAGGGACAGTTCATATAGCAGCGTGGTCTCCGGCAGCACGTTCTGCCAATACCTCCTTAGCCTGTGTGCTCTGCTGCCGTTCTGCGCTGCATCCCACGCCACCCCTGCTCCTAGTTCTGCTCGAATTTCTTCTTCTGCTCGCTTCACTGCCTCTCGCTGATCATCCCTGGTATCCACATTCTCCACTATGTATGCCACCTCTCCTTGCTTGCGCTTGATCATCTTCAAAATCCTGATGAGTTCCCGGAACAATCCACTCCTCGGATCCGCCAGTCCTCGTCCCTCCCCTGCTCGAGACAGACCCTGACATTCCCACCCTGCCACCACCAGATCGATGTGCCCCCAGTGGGCCAGTGCATCTTCCTTCACATCCTCCACTCGATGGCAGGTCCACTCGGCCCCCTCCTGTACCGCTTCTGCGTACAATTGTGACGGATACCTTGCCTCCAACTTCTTTATATGATGCCACGATATCGTGCTCGCTACTTGGTCATTATCCACGTAGATGTACTTCTTCACCCTCAGGCCCGCTTTCAGCGCCGCTGCCAATCCCGTGCTGATCCCTCCGAACAGCTCCAGCAGCACGATCGGCTTCTGAAACACCCGTGCATCCAAGTGTAGTTGCCTCAGACCGCCGCTTTCTCCCCACTGCTGGCGATGCCAGTCTCTGTACCTCCTCTCCTCCTCCAGCGCTTCCCAGTTCAAGTGCCCCAACTCTTCCTCCGCGGTCTTCACCTCCGCCTGGTAGGCTTCTCGGGGCTCTCTCCGTATGAAGTGCACTGGCAGCTCAGCCACCTCCCCATCGTATTCCCAGTATGTCACTCGATACATCAGGCGTTCCTCCCACATGCAGATGGTGGATCCGATGCTGTACAAGAATTCCACTCCTAGTAGCAGGTCGTAGTCCTCAGAAGGCGAGAGGCCGCACTGCAGCTTCACCGAACATTCCTCCTGACTTCCCTGCCGTATCACGATTTCCACCGTGGCCCGTGTCTTGGGCATCCATTTCGTTCCACCTCCCTCCGCCGTCATCAGCAGCAGTCCTTCCCTTATCTGCCTCTCTGGCCGATCTAACTGTAGCTGCTCCGCCAGTCGCCTTCCGATCAGCACCGGATGTGCCCCCGTGTCAATGATAGCCTGCTTCACTGGCAAGCCCCCGATAGTGATGTACCCCTTTTCTGCCACCAGCACGGATGCTGCACAACTGAGCCTCTCTAGCGGATGTCTGCGAGGCGCCACACCTGTCCTGTCTTCTCCGGCCAATCTTCTCGGTCCAAGCTCCTGCCGTCCTTCCGTCCTCTGTCTCAGGTTCCTTTCCCTCGGCCTTAATCCCAGCTCGTCTCTATCCCTGGCCGGCCTTGCCATGAATCCACACTCCTCTTCACTTTCTCCTTCTTCCTCCTCCTGCCTCGCCACCATAGCTGGCCTTCGCTCAGGCTCTCTCTCTCGGTCTTCCAGCTGGGCCTTCAGCCTTTCTATCTCCGCACGCATTTCCGCCATCTCCCCCCTTTCTCGCGGTTCTCCTCGTCTGGAGTAGCAGTCCTTCTCCACGTGACCCCTTCTTCCGCACTTGTCGCATGTCGGCGCCTCCGGGCAATCCCTTCGTAAGTGGTCTTCCTTCCCGCAGATGGAGCATGCCGGTGGATTGCGACAGTCTCGACGCAGGTGTCCGCTCCTTCCACAGTTATGACATTTGCGAGCATCTGCCGGCCCCCTTGGCGGCCGCTCGTGTTCCACTGGACTCGCACTCCACGCCGGCCGTCTCCTTTCCACCTGCCGCTCGGATGTCCTCTCCACCTCGAACAGCCTCCGTCCTGTCTCCACCCTCTTCGCCGTTTCGTATGCCGCCTTCAGCGTCGCTGCTGCCCCCAGCTCAAAGATCTTCACCTGTACGTCCCGCTGGAGCTCGTAGTTGAGCCCGTTCAGGAATTTGCTGACGAGCCGCCCTTGATCCGTGCAGTTCATATCCTCCCCTAGCTCCATCAGCCTCCCGTAATACGCCAGCAATGATTCTCCCGTTCGACGCTTGAAGTCACGAAACTCCACGACCCGCTCCGGCGTTTGCAGCGGAAACTGTTCTCGCAGCAGCTCCAGAAAACGCTTAGTCGGATCTCTTTCTCCCGCTTTCCCTTGCGACGCCCACTCCAGTAGCTCGCGACGACAGATCCGGTAATACGTCTCCGCCTCTCCGGTCAAGGTATTCGCCAACCCGCGGAAGAACTCTTCCGGCGCCAGTTGGTCGCGCTCCCATCGTGCTCGCAGGTTATCAAGCTGCATGAGGTAGTTCTTAAGGGACGGTCCTCGTCGCACCTCTCCCGAGAACCGCTCTGGCACCTCCACCTTCGGCAGCATAGTATACCGCCATCGCGCCGACGCCGCCTCCTCCTCAAATCCTTGCCACGACGCACTGCGCTGATATGCTCGTCCTGCTCCAGTTCTTCCTCCTGCGTTCGTGTCAGTGTCCTCCGATGCTGGCTTCTTCGCCTTGCCTGCTCCCGCTCCTTCCGTTCCTTGCGTCTCCTCATGCACGGCGACAGAGCCCGCGGCTACTCCTGTCCTGCCGTGCTCGCCTTCCTTCGCGCCGTGCGCGGCGGCTTCTCCCTGAGCTGTATCTACGTTCTCTCCGTCTCCGTCCATCGCTTCGTTTCTCTCTCTCAATTCCTTCAGCGCGAAATCTAAACCCGATCTCGTGGGCATACCTCTATTGATTGCTTGTATGTGATGAGCTCTAAGCTCCGTCACACACCAGCTCACACCTCCAATGCCTACTCTCCATTGCTCGTCATATCTCCCTAAGGTCACTGCTTGCTCTGATTTACAGCATAGCACTCGTGTTAAAAGGAAACATACAAGCAATGAATAGGACATTCGGGTATCCTCCAATTCTACCAGCGCTACCTCCGCCATTCTCCTTTACTGCCTCCCCGCCTATGCTAGCAGCTATGAGATGCTTGGCACAGGTTTGCAGCCGTCCTGCTTCTACCCACACTACCCCGCCCTTGCTGCTTAACCTCCAGCTGGTACTGACGCATCCAGCTGGCTTCCCGAACCTATCCTGCACACATGAAACAAACAAGCATGCATACATTCACCCATCCATCACATCCCGCGGTACTGCTTCCTGCTGCCGCTGCCTCGACTGCCTCTGTGCTTACAGCCGCCCACTTTGCTTACGTAAGTTCCTGCCCTCGCTCGCCCATGCAACCCACCACCCCGCAGGCTCGGCAGCTGCCAGCTCCCCTCCACCCCTCTTCATCTCCGAAAGGTCATGTGTCTCCTCAGCTCCCCTCCTCGGTACCATTCGACTCGCTATGTACAATATCTACAGTATGTACATTCCTTCTCGCGCCACCTTACCCTTCACATTCATGCAAATGTGACAACGGTGCAGCAAACACCTGACCCGACGCGGCTACCTGAGCAGACTCAGCGACCGGAGGAGACTCAGTAGTCAGTGTGTACAGGCTCGACCCCGGCTGACGGGTAAACGTGGCCAAGTGACGGCCCGTCCGAGCACAGGTACAGTGGGTCACTCGCTGACTCGCAGGAGTGAAGTGGTGAGCCCCTCCATCCTGGAGGTCAGCACCACTCACCAAGTTCGTAGAGAACGAGGGGAGGTAAAGACCCGACAGGGTGCCAGAAGGGTTCGCCGGACACGGTAGAATAGTGGAGAAGTGGGCAAGGACAGGACCCCCAGAGAAGTCTGCCAGGGGGACTGCCACTGGCCGACTAAGCGGCGTAAGTGTGGTGCGGTCTCGAAAGAAGGAGCGGGAAGCACCCGAGTCAAAGGTGAAGGTGTGGGTGGCCGGAGCCGACGCGGTACCTGAGAGCGCAGACTCACCAGCACCTGGGGGAGCAGGCTCACTAGCACCTAGAGCAGCAGCCTCACCAGCACCTAGAGCAGCAGCCTCAATGCCCGGGTCAGGCGGAAAACACTGGTAATAGTCACCCTTATCACTAATAGACACAGCATACATTGCAGGAAGAATAGCATCATAATCAAGATCAAAGATCGTAACACCCGCCCTAAACAGCTCGCCCTAGCTAGGGATCTCAGTAGCGTTGGGGAACTGGTGATGCCAAGCGTTCGTCAGGCGGCCGAAGCAGCGCTAGGTGGAGTGCGGACCCCCACACTGCTCACCCGTGTGGTCGCCTGTACGTAGAACGTAAGTACAGGGGCCAGCACCCCAACCCCGCTGACGAGCAGTGTACCACTCACGAAGCTGCTGGGGGGAAGGGGTTTTACGAGTGCGCTCCTGCTGCTGCTGCTGGCGTTGACCACCACCGGAGCCGACCCTCTGCGAAGAGCCGCCTCGACCAGCTCCACCTACGCCCCCGCTACCTCCACCACCGCCTCCACCTCCACCACCTCCGCTCGCAACGCCACCGCCGCCGCCTCCTCCGCCTCCACTGCCGCCACTAGTGCCCCCACTCCCGCCACCACTCCCACCGCCACCCCCACCCCCTCTGCCGCCTCCACTGCCGCCTCCACCGCCCGCGCCAGCTCCTCCAACGCCCTTGCCCCCCTTGCCCTTGCTTGAGCGGCGTTTCCCGCTAGGGGCAGATGCCGCGCCGACCGACTCAAGACCAACGAGGTCACCCGCAGCAGAAGAGGCAACAGAGGGCAAGAGGGGGGAGGGGGAGCACCCCTCAAAGACAGGGGTATGAGGGTCACCACGAGAGGCTCCTACAGCGACTATACTCTTTTCTGCTGCTAGGAGGCGCTCCTCGAGGAGGTCAATGGTGAGGGTTGTGGGGAAAACAGAGAGGAAGTGGTCCCTGACCGAGCGAAGGGTGTCAAGGAGCTGGGTGACTATGTAGTAGAGGGTGATGTACATGGGGGGGGGGTTCTTGGCGCAGAACTCAGCGGGAAGCGCAGCGCGGTAGCGAATGTCACTAGTGCGAAGGTGCGTAATGAGGTCAGCGACTGTGGGAAAAGCGGCGAGGTCAGGGAAGAGGTACGGCATTATGAGGCGGCTAAGAGCAGCAGTGGCAGGGGAAGAGTAGCGTGCAACGTCAGCGTCGTACAAGGTCTTAGCACTCTTGTACTGACTAAAATGCGCGCGTTCAGCGGTCGGTAAGTGGCGGCGCACAGCAAGGCAAGCAGCAGCATCGCTCGTGGTCCACTGTGAGCGAACAGTGGCGTCAGCATCAACAGCAGGGGCAGGAGAGGCACCAGAGGTGAGGTCAAACAGAGAGAGACCGTCTGTCCTATCGCACTGTAGGAAAAGCTGCAAATCATCTACCCAGACCTCAAAGTCAACAGCCCGACCCTCAGCGTCAAAGGTGAGAACACTGGGGGTGGCCATGACAGCAGTAGACTGGCAGAGAGAGCAGTGGGGTAGGGCAGTGTAGTGGCAGAGGCGCTGCTCTTACCAAGCAGGTGGGGCGGGCCGAGGCAGGCCGGCAGGGACAGGACCGCGACGGTAGGGACTGCGGCGTCTCGGCTGCGGTGGCGTGGCGGCTCGGCGGCTCGGCAGCTCGGCTGCAAGGCGGCTTGGCGGCTCGGCAGCTCAGGGGCTCGGCGGCTCGGTAGCTCGGCGGCTCGGCAGCTCGGCGGCACAGCGGCAAGGGCGGCTCGGCGGCTCGGCGGTGACGGCGGCTCGGCTGCTCGACGGGGCCGGGAAGGGCGGCTGAGGGGCCGAGGAAGGGCGGCAGGGCCGCGAAGGGCGGCAACGGGGCCGCAAGGGGCGGCAATGAGGCCGCTGAAGGGCGGCGACGAGGCCGCTGAGGGGTGGCGACGAGGCCGCTGAAGGGGGGCGACGAGGCTGCGAAAGGGCGGCGACGGGGCCGTGGAAGGGCGGCAATGGGGCCGCTGAAGGGCGGCGACGAGGCAAAGGGGCGGCGACGGGGCCATAAGGGGCGGCGACGGGGCCGTAAGGGGCGGCGACGGGGCCTTAAGGGGCGGCGACGGGGCCGTAAGGGGCGGTCGCGGGGCCGTGAGGGGCGGCGACGGGGCCGTAAGGGGCGGTCGCGGGGCCGTGAGGGGCGGCGACGGGGCCGTAAGGGGCGGTCGCGGGGCCGTAAGGGGCGGCGACGGGGCCGTAAGGGGCGGCGACGGGGCCGTAAGGGGCGGCGACGGGGCCTTAAGGGGCGGTGACGGGGCCGTAAGGGGCGGTTTCGGGGCCGTGAGGGGCGGCGACGGGGCCGTAAGGGGCGGTCGCGGGGCCGTGAGGGGCGGCGACGGGGCCGTAAGGGGCGGTCGCGGGGCCGTGAGGGGCGGCGACGGGGCCGTAAGGGGCGGTCGCGGGGCCGTAAGGGGCGGTCGCGGCGCCTTAAGGGGCGGCGACGGGGCCGCTAAGGGGCCACGCGGAGCCTAGAGAGGGCAGCGACGGGGCCTGAGGGGCGGGACACTAGTCGTGCTTCGGGCAGGGGCGGCACGCGCCCCGGGTAGGAAAAAACAAAAATCTTGGTGGGCCCTAGGAACTGTTCCCACGAGGGAACCTGCTCGATACCATGTCAGAATCCCAACCACTAGACCATTGGGATAGAATGGCTTGTTAAGTAGCGGATGAGTGCGCCAATAACCCCCCAGGCCAACATGCTTGTAACCCTTCCCTAGGATCAATCGGGGATCACCAGTGGACCTCTGACACCCCCCCGCACTAGGATGCCCGAAGTGCACACACCGGGATTCGAACCCGAGACCTTCGCTCTGATACCATGAGAAACTTAGAACGAGAATGAGTTTGACTAAGGAATGAAAGTGATACAAATATGAAACCCTAGTATTGTGTACCCCTTAGTATCTAACCCGCTACAGCCTACATAGGCTAGATCATATAAGTTTGACACCCTTTGCATAACACCTCGAGGACCAAAGATAGTCGATAGGATCATAGAGTACATCAAAATAATCATTACTCCTCTTTCCTATACCTGAATCGGCACTCTTTGTCAGAATCCCAACCACTAGACCATTGGGATAAAAGGGCTTGTTAAGTAGCGGATCAGTGCGCCCATAACCCCCCAGGCCAACGTGCTTGTAACCCTTCCCTAAGATCAATCGGGGATCTCCAGTGGACCTCTGACACTCTTTGCTCCCGACTTCACCTGGGGGGTAGAAGATTTTTTCTGAGGATTGAATAACTTATTCTGGAGTCTTAACACGGTGCTGTAGGGAGAGAATGTTAACCCCTTGGAACGCACGACCCTTTTCAACGCTCCATAGTACTTTGCCCAACTTCTCATGTACCTGAATAATTTCTGAAGGCTTTTTCTTGGCCTCTAATTCTCCCCTGAATTTTTCAAAGGCTTGAAAACCACGAAAAAAAGATATTCTTAATAAAAGTATCTTTATACGATAACTTTATTGAATTCTTACTTCTGTTGTTGTTTGGCTGGAGTTTCTCGGTCGGTGCAAAGTCTTATTTCGCAGAGCCCTTTTTTTCTCGGCGATTTCCCGTAGTGCCGGTCGGTCGTGATGTTTTTAAATTCACGCCATCATTTTCTCCTTTTTTCGCCCGCTCCGAAGTCGTCACGTCGTCGCGTATTTTTCATTTTTCCGGATCTTTTTTTCGATCGCCAGGACGATCTACGGCTACTCGCAAATCTCATTTTGACTTCGGGGGTGCCGTACTATTGTTTCCCAGCATTTTCGCACGTGCGTTTTTCATTTTGTAACACGACAAAATCTGGTGTCCGGCTGCGCCGCGAAATTCGCACATCTCGGATTTTGCTCACCGCGGCTTCGCATCGATTCTGTCGATGTCCATCGGGTCGGCGAACGTAGAGGGTGCCGATCGTTCCGTTTTGAAAGAGATGTTCGGCGCGTCGCATCGTATTTCAGGTTGACCACGGGTCAGCGCATTGTATCACTCTGCTGCACGCACCATGTCGCGGTACCTACTGTAGTTCACGGCGACCACTTGTTGTCATATCTCCATTTTTAGTCCCTTACTATATGCTTGCAGTTTTTCCGCTTCGGTCAGGTCTGGAATTTGGTTAAATAACTGCTCCAACTATTGCGTGTAAAGCGCTATACTGCCGTACTGTTTGTGCCAATGAATGTGCTGCCGCGCCATGTAGCTCGAATTAATTGGTTCAAAACGCGCGATAAAATCTGCCTGAAACTACGCCCACGTTCCCCCGCTTTGGACCATTTCACTGTAGTAAATCCACTCGAGTTGTGGGCCTCGCAACAGTGTGACTGCGAGCCAAATCCTTTCTGTGTATGAGTCAGGGTCGTACAACCAATGGCCTCAAAATAATTTTCGAGTGTAGCCACGAATCATCGAACGTCCGATCCCTTCGCGCTTGGATTGAACGCTTCCGGGACTCTGGGACGGGCTGCTTCGTGATTTGCCAAAGCTGGTGTCACCACTGTTGCTGTCAGAGGTCCACTGGTGATCCCCGATTGATCCTAGGGAAGGGTTACAGGCACGTTGGCCTGGGGGGTTATGGGCGCACTGACCCGCTACTTAACAAGCCCTTTTATCCCAATGGTCTAATGGTTGGGATTCTAACATGGTATCAGAGCGAAGGTCTCGGGTTCGAATCCCGGTGTATGCACTTCGGGCATCCCAGTGCGGGGGGGTGTCAGAGGTCCACTGGTGATCCTCGATTGATCCTAGGGAAGGGTTACAGGCACGTTGGCCTGGGGGGTTATGGGCGCACTGACCCGCTACTTAACAAGCCCTTTTATCCCAATGGTCTAATGGTTGGGATTCTGACAGTTGCGTGAAATGTCGGTGTCGCCGCTGCTTGTCAACGAGAGTTGTCTGTTGGCCACGTCCTCGCTTGGGCGGAGCCGACTTCGCTGTCGGGTGTGCGGGGAACGCAACTGACCTGCTGCAGTGGGGGACGCCGTCATGGGCACCTGGACGTCGACCTGGGCGTCTGGGCGGTGTCATGGGCGCCTGGATGCCGACTTGGGCGTCGGGATGGCGTCCTGGGCGCCTGGACGTCGACCTGGGCGTCTGGACTGCGTCCTGGGCGCCTGGACGCCGACCTGGGCGTCGGGACGGTGTCCTGGGCGCCTGGACGCCGACCTGGGCGTCTGGACGGCGTCCTGGGCGCCTGGACGCCAACCTGGGCGTCTGGACGGCGTCTTGGGCGCCTGGACGCCGACCTGGATGTCAAACTTATATGGTGCATGTTGTGTAGGCTGTAGTGGGGTAGCCCATATGGGGTACAGCCCAATTTAGGGTTAGTACTTGTACCCATCCTGCTGCTAGTCCATTCATTCTCGTTATTTTTTTTTTACATGGTTTCAGAGCAGGTCCTCTCCTAGGACCGTTTTTTTTTAGGGCCCACCGAAACGTGCTACCCCACACGTCGCGCCGCCCTGATAGCGCCGCGCTGCCTTGCCCTGCCCTGCGTCGTGCTGCCTTGCGCACGCCCTGCCCTGCGTCGCGCTGCCCGCGCATGCCCAGCCCTGCTGTGCCCGTGCACCGCTTGCCGCCGCGTCGCCCTGCCCGCGCGCCGCTCGCCGTGGCGCCGCCCTGCCCGCGTGCCGCTCGCCGCCGAGCTGCAGCCTTGCCCACGCGCCACTCGCCGCCGCGCGCCCCGCCCTGCCCGCGCGCCGCTCGCTACCGTGCCGCTCTGCCCGCGCGCCGCTCGCTGCTGCGCTGCAGCCCTGCCCGCGCGCCGCTGCACTGTAGCCCAGCCCGCGCACCGCTCACTGCCACGCCGCCCTGCCCTACCCGCGCGCCACTCGCTGCCGCGTCGCCCTGCCCTGATCTGCCTGTGCGCCCCCCTGCTGGCCGCTGCCCTGCTTTGCTCTGCCTGCGTGCTGCTCTGCTGCTAGCACGCCTAGCTGCTTCACCCGCGATGGCTACTCTTAGTGTACTCTCATTAGATGCAGAGGGCCGTCCGATACAGCTCGACGCCTGGCTAGATGACCTTCAGCTATACTTACTAAGCGATTCTAGGGACGGTGCTTTACTGTTTGACCTCATGTTTGGAGCCTCTCTCGCCCCTTCCACCACAGCTGACAATGCGACTCGCTGACAATGGTTTACCCATGACGTTGCTGCTCGCCTAGCCGTTCGCAACCACTTGTCGTGAGCCGAACGCGCTCACTTTGGCCAGTACAAGACTGCTAGAGCCCAGTACGACGCTGTGGTTGCTCGTTACTCCTTCCCGGCCACTACTGCTCTAGGCCGCCTTATACTTCCCTACCTGTTCCCCAAGCTGTCCGCCTTTGCCACAGTCGCCGACCTCGTCACTCACCTTCGCACTAGTGACACTTGCTACAGTGCCGCGCGTCCTGCCGAGTTTCTAGCCAAGAACCCTCCTCCCATGTACATCACACCTGCCTCCCTAACCCTCTTAGCGCAGTCAGGGACCTCCTTCTTGCTCTTGACCCCACCGATCTCACTGTCGACCTGCTCGAGAAGCACCTCCTTGCAGCACAGACCATCATAGTCGCTATAGGCGCTTCTCGTGGCACTCCTCGCACTCCCTTATTTGAGAGGTGTTCCCCCTCCCCCCTTCTTCCCTCTGTCGCTTCTGCTGCTGCTGTTGACTTCCTTCATGCTGAGGAGGTTGTTAAGAAATGAGGAATGAATGAACTAGCAAGCAGGTGGGTACAAGTAGGAAACCTAGAAATGTTGTACCCTATAGTGTCTACCCCACTATAGCCTAGATAGACCATAGCATATGAGTTTGACACACCCCCATAGGCAAAGTGGGGGAGAACAAGAGGTCACAAGACCAGTCAAGCAAAGCAAAGCAAGCTCAGGGTGGATCACAAATTCACCACACATTCCGAGCACAAGCTCAAGGCCACAAGGCCAGTTCACATGCAAGATCATATATAAAGGTAAACAAGCAAGTGCAGGTATAGAAAGATCACAGTACAAGCAAGGTCAAGAAGTGAGCAAGTGAGGCCAAGTAGGCACAAGACCTAGCATC